TGCTGGGTGTGATTTTAAAACCCAACACCGATGGGTTTCTTCACACACGTTTTCTTTTGTGTGTGCCTTCAGAGCTTGCAAGGATATATATATTTTTTTTTTTTTCCCTTTACAGCCAGATGAGCCTCCTTGTTCTAATTCACGGAGGAGGAGGAGGAGGCACCCACACAACCCCATGACTCCGGGAGCAGGGGATTTCAGAGCCAAGCAGAAGAGCTTTGCAACGACGGTGCAAAAAGCTGGCAACGGCACAGAGCCGTCCAGCCGTGCGAAGACAGGACGAGCATCACACAACTGCCTCCCTCGGCCGGGGAGCCCGGCACGGCGGCGGTGGCTCGGGGGCCGCGGCCGCCCCTCCGCTGCCGGCGCCCACATGCCAGGCCTGCTCCGAGATGTGCTGGCCATCTGCTCCTGCCAGCCGGGGCTGGGGCCGGGGCTCTGCGCCGGGGCTGGGGATGTGCCAAGCCGTCCCGCCGTCGCCACGCTCCCCAGCTGCGCCCCCCGTCACGACCGCACCGCTGCCGGCGCCCCCAGAACCGGCCGGTGGGGTTGCCGCGCACCACCAGCATCACCCACGGTGGGGCTTTCAGATGTGACATCCCCACGGCTCCAGGTTCTCCCTACGGTGGCTGGTTCTGCTTGCCCCCTGCAAGCCCACCGTGAAACACCTCTGGGTGAGCGGGAGGACAGAGTGAGGCAAGGGGGTGGCAGAGATGGGGACAAGGTGTATTTTTCTCGCCTGGCATTGCCAGCGCAGATCCCACCCCACCTCTGGGTGAGCCATTCCCATCCTCATGTGGATTTTCTGCCCCCTGGACAACCCCCTTCACAAGCTTCGCTCTTCCCACCGCTTCCAGCACCCTTCCCCATTGACGGCCAGGTTTAACATTGCCCTCCCGCACCCTCCCAAATCTGCCACCACAAAAGTCCATCCCCCTGGTCACCAAGGAGGGGGCCCCACATCTCTTCCAGCAGCCTTCCCCATTGACGGCCAGGTTTAACACTGCCCTCCCGCACCCCCCCAAATCTGCCACCACAAAAGTCCATCCCCCTGGTCACCAAGGCGGGGGCCCCACAGCCAGGGGTGCGTCCCTCCAGTCGGGGAGCCGGCCAGGGAGCAGCCTGAACCTTGTCATAGTTGAGACTTATCAGGTTTGGACAAGCGCCGGGGGCTGCCGCGGGATTCAGGATGTTCTGTAACGAACGTCCTCTGCCCCAAATAGACGCCGTCCCAGGGGCACGGGCTCGAGCAGTCCCTCCCCAGGAGCCAGCAGTGGGGGAATCCAGCCCAAGAGTGACCCCCCAGCCGGCATCGCCATCCGAACCATCCATGGGTCCCCAGCACCCCAAAGAGATGCCACCACCTGGCCTGACATCCCCGCTCTTCAATGCGTCCCTCTCCAGGTCCTCTCCCAAGGTCTTCCTCTTTATGAAAGACAAAGAAACGTAAACCATCTGTTTTAATAAACAGATTCCTCAATTTCTAGAGTCCGGCAAGTCAGATGCTCGCTTAAAACCGTACGTAACACTTTCCACGGGTGTATTTATAACTAAAGGCATAACTCTGCCTTCTCGCACTCTGTCATTAACCCTCTACAGCCTTGTTATAACCAGAGCCAAGATACGTGTCAGAAAATACTGTGCCTACTCATCTCTGGTAAAACATCCCAACAGTCACCATCGAGGAGAGAAATCCCTTTTGATTAAAATAAATAAATAAATAAATAAATAAGGGAAAAAAAAAAATACAAAAGGAAAACAACACCCAAAACCACCGATACCACAACTGGCAGGTAGGATCCAGACTGATTCCCCGACACCAGGGTTTCACACCATGGAACGGCCCCCGGAGCCCGGCTCCGCTGGCGTGACCGACCCCGGTGCCGGGGGGATTCCCAGCATCGCGCCGCGCACCGCGGCGTCAGTCGCCCGCGATAATCAACCGGCTCTCGGCTCAAAGTAATTAGCCTGGTGCGAGCGCAGCGGCTCTTCCCCTGCCTGTGTCGCGCCGAAAGCCCCGGCATCAGCACCTCCTGCTCTCAGGCCTGGGGAAAGGGCTCAGCCCAAAGACAGGAGGGGGAGTTTGGGCAAAGAAAGAGGGTTTTTTTTGTTAAATACGGAGTCATATGTAAATCTCGGCTCTTCGGGACTGTGCCTGGTATCCTTGCTGTCCCCAGGTAAGGAGCCGCGCTGCCGGCACGGCAGAGAGCCCCACCGGGGGGACGGAGGAAGAGGGAACACAGACTGGCAACCCCGTGCCAAAAAAACCCCCAAAAAACCCCCCAAAAAGGTAAATAAATAAATTCAAGGCGACAACAATGTGAGAGCAAGGGGCAGAGGGGAGCAGAGGGGAAGAGGCCAGCAGCGATTCAGAGCTAAAACCATCCCACCTCCGGGAAACTTCCCACCACAGAGCCCGCTCCCCAGCTCAAGTAAAAGTTCCCGACCCAAACGCAGCCGGAAAATAACCAGGATAAACCCTGCCACCACTAGAGCCTAGGAAATATTTGTGATATTATTATTTTTTTTTTTTTTTTTTTCCCCATTCTGGCGAGCGCAGCGGCTCTTCCCCTGCCTGTGTCGCGCCGAAAGCCCCGGCATCAGCACCTCCTGCTCTCAGGCCTGGGGAAAGGGCTCAGCCCAAAGACAGGAGGGGGAGTTTGGGCAAAGAAAGAGGGTTTTTTTTGTTAAATACGGAGTCATATGTAAATCTCGGCTCTTCGGGACTGTGCCTGGTATCCTTGCTGTCCCCAGGTAAGGAGCCGCGCTGCCGGCACGGCAGAGAGCCCCACCGGGGGGACGGAGGAAGAGGGAACACAGACTGGCAACCCCGTGCCAAAAAAAACCCCCAAAAAACCCCCCAAAAAGGTAAATAAATAAATTCAAGGTGACAACAATGTGAGAGCAAGGGGCAGAGGGGAGCAGAGGGGAAGAGGCCAGCAGCGATTCAGAGCTAAAACCATCCCACCTCCGGGAAACTTCCCACCACAGAGCCCGCTCCCCGGCTCAAATAAAAGTTCCCGACCCAAACGCAGCCGGAAAATAACCAGGATAAACCCCGCCACCACTAGAGCCTAGGAAATATTTGTGATATTATTATTATTTTTTTTTTTTCCACAATCATCCTTGTCCATCCCGACAGCGAGACGGGCACGGCAAGAAGCCAACTGCGGCACCGATTCCTTTCACGGCCAAGAGACACGGGAGGAAGGTTTCAGGTTGGAGCCGGCTTCCAGCACTCGGAAGCCGCAGCTGAACACGCAGAGAGTAAAACCCACGTGTGCTACGAGCTGGAAAGGCATTTCTGCAGTAATAATCACCCAAATTTCCCCTTAATGCTCCGAGCGAAGGCGCTGATAAAGTAGGAAACGCGAATCAAATTGTATTCGAAACGTATGGGAACCACTATTAAAATTTCTATAGACAAACAAGCAGCACACCCAATTTCAGCAAATTTTTGCCTAAAAAATATCCCGTAACGCGGCTGCCTCCCCTCTCGCAGCAGCTAATTCTTCCGCTCTTTCGTAAACATTTGAAAACAAGGTCACGCGCACAAATTCTGCTTTCAATTTGCCTTGTATCCATAGTGATTAAACTCAGACCCACAATACGGGATTTAAAGAAAAAAAAAAAACAAAAAAAAAACCAAAAAAAAACTTTTAAAAGGCCTGGAGCAGAGCTAGCCCCCGGCACGCTCGCCGACGCGCCGAAGGCCAGGGATGAGAACGGTGCCGACGACAGTTTTCTCATAAAACAGCAACCTGGGAATTAAATCACAGGGCTCCAGCATCGCCATAGCGAGGGATCCAGCCCCCACATCTACACCCTCCTCAAGAAACCACCAGCCCGGAGGCAACACAAATTTAAACGGCTCCGAAACCCGGCCAGGGAACGGCGTTCGGCAGCGACGGCAAGAGCGAGATGAGCAGGAAAAAACGAAAGCAGCTGCAGGAGATGAAAGACTCCACAGCCTTCTCCCCATTCCCAATGGAAAGGTTTTTCACTTAAAAAAAAGAAAAATAATTTTCTCATCATCTTTCTTTCTCCCCCCCCAGCCCCACACTTGCCAAAGGGGAAGTGTTGAGGCTGGAAGCTTTAACCTCCTACATCCAATTTCCTGCTCCATCCCAGCCCCAGACGTGGGCAAAGCCTCTAGTACGTGAGAGCAAACACTCTGAATTCAGCGGGGCCTTTCCTTGTCCCCCCCGAGTGTCTCAGTTTCCCCACCTGCCCATAGGGGAGCAATAGCACGGCACTGCCTGGGAGGATATTAGGAAAATAGCCCCATCCAGGATCGGGTCAGGGAGGATGTAATTTTCCTCCCGCAGAGGCTCAGTAGGAAAATAAAGCCAGAGGAGACAGGAAAACGCTTTGCCCCATCCCTCCACAACCCTGGCCTTACCGGGGGGTCTCACAGGCTCCTAACAAAAGGCTCCTAAATTCCCAAAGCACAAAGCAAGCACAACGAAACACCTCGAAAAAAAAGAGAGAAGCGGGGGGTGCAAGGAGGCTGCGGGGGAGAAGCACAACTGGCCACACAGCACCCTAAGGCTGACACCTCTCGGGACACAGCGGGCAGGGGAAGCAGGGAGCTGCAGGGGGACCCCAAAACTCGGGTCAGGGAGGATGTAATTTTCCTCCCGCAGAGGCTCAGTAGGAAAATAAAGCCAGAGGAGACTGGAAAACGCTTTGCCCCATCCCTCCACAACCCTGGCCTTACCGGGGGGTCTCACAGGCTCCTAACAAAAGGCTCCTAAATTCCCAAAGCACAAAGCAAGCACAACGAAACACCTCGAAAAAAAAGAGAGAAGCGGGGGGTGCAAGGAGGCTGCGGGGGAGAAGCACAACTGGCCACACAGCACCCTAAGGCTGACACCTCTCGGGACACAGCGGGCAGGGGAAGCAGGGAGCTGCAGGGGGACCCCAAAACATTTTTGGCTGGGGCTTTGCAGGCGGTGGGAGCGGAGCGAGGGGAGGGGGGCTGAGCGGGGCACACTTACTTCTCGTAATCCAGCTTGCAGTAGAGCTTCTTGTCGCGATAGAAGCAGGTGGTCTGCAGGGGCTCCTTGCAGGACACGCACTGGACACACTGCTCATGCCACAGGCTGTCGTTGAGGCGCAGCAGGAACCGGTCCGAAATGACCCGCTGGCACCCTTCGCACACCGACTTGGGGGTCGCGGCTCTGCCTGCGGGGAAGGACGCGGGATGGAGGGAGAGGCGGACGGGGAGACAGACGGGGCAAGGGATGGACGGAGGACCCCGCTGCTCCCTTCCCCTCCGGTGGCTCGGGGGGTGCCGGGGGGTGTGCGGGGCGCTGCTCCGGGATCCAGGGGGGACCTGTGCCTGAGGGGAGTCCCGGGGGGGGAACACCGCCCCCAATTTCGTTCCTCTTGGAAAGGCGGCGGCAGAGCCGCAGCTGGGAGAGCAGGCGATTGTTTCAAACCGATATTAAAACGAAGAAAAAAAAAATAAAATAAATTATTTCTCGTTCGATACCAAGGAAAGGCCTCCGTTGCAACTGGGGCGGGGGGTGGGGGGGGGATACACACACGTAATTGAATGCAATCGCAGAACGAAACGGGAGCGGGAAAGGCGGGCGCCGCGGGCACTCCCCGGGCGAAGGGAGCGGCGCCGGGCAGAGCTGAGACCGGGACCGAGCGGGGGGAAGCTGCCCCCGAGCCCCCCGACCCGCCCCGTGCCCATCGCTCGGGGCCCACCCGGCCGTGCCCACCCTCGAGGGGGTCCCCGGGAGGGCGAGCGGGGTGCCCCGACTTACCCAGCAGGGAGGAGAAGGGAGCCGAGGGGTCCAGGGCGCTCTGCAAACTCTCTTCCATCTTCAGCCCGTCCAGCATGGTGGGGAACCGGCCAGGGCGAGGGGTCCGCGCCGCCCGCCTGCCAACACAGCCCCAACACGCCGCGCTCAGCCCCGGCCGCCGCCACCCCCGGTCGGGGCTTCCCCGCCCCGGCTGCCCGCCCGCTCCCGGGGCACCCCGATCCTCTCCTGCCCTCTTCCCTCCCTCCGAGAGGGTGAAACCCCCCGCGGACCCCCTGCTCCGGCTTCGCAACCGCTGCCCCCGGGCGGGTTCGCAGCGTCTCACCAGCCCCGTAGCCCCGACGTGGGGTGGGGGGGCAGCCATGGGGCGCCCGGCGGCAGCGGGACGCGAAGAAACGGGGCCGCCGTCGGCGGGACCCGGCCGCTTACCTGGGGCGGCCCGGGCGGTGCCTTCCCGCGGGTAACCGGGGGGGAAAGGTGTCCGCGGCCACCGCTCCGGGGGGATCCTACGGCTTCTCCCGCCTTCCCCGGGCCGGTCTCCCCGAAGTGGGGAACGAACCGCGGCGTCCCGGACGGTTCCGGAGCGGAGCTCACCGACCTGCGGGGAAGCGCCCGTCCGACTGCTGCTGCCAAGGCACATTTCCTGGAGCTGATACCTCCCTGCCCGACCCCCACCCCCTGCCCTCCCCTCTCCACCCAACTCGAAATAAGTTTCCTCCCCGCTCTCCTGCCTGGCTGCAGGCACCGACCCCGCCACGCCTCGAGGGGACGGCGGCTTTCCCCGGGCTCCGGGGGGGCACGGCCGGGCCGCCCGGCGAGGCACCGGGGCAGCCCCGGCACCGCTCCGCTCCCTGGCTTTTTTCTCTTCTTTTATTAGAAAGCAAGCCAAAAAGAAGAAAAAAAAAAAAAGGTGGAGGGGGGTGCCCCGCCACCACGGCTCTCCCGGTAGTGAAAGCGGCTGGAAATCAGCTCCCCCTTCCAGGAGAAACCCGGGCCGGGAGTCTTTTGGGGGAAGCCCGGCCCCGGCCCGGGGAGGGATGCGGTCCCCGGCCGGGATGCGGTGCCCCGCGCTGCGCATCGCCCCGGGCGCCTCGCTCCCGCCGCTCCAGAGTATTTAAGGAAAATGAGTACTGGGAGGGAGGGGGAACTAAAAAAAAAAAAAAAAGGTGGAGGGTGGTGCCCCGCCACCACGGCTCTCCCGGTAGTGAAAGCGGCTGGAAATCAGCTCCCCCTTCCAGGAGAAGCCCGGGCCGGGAGTCTTTTGGGGGAAGCCCGGCCCCGGCCCGGGGAGGGATGCGGTCCCCGGCCGGGATGCGGTGCCCCGCGCTGCGCATCGCCCCGGGCGCCTCGCTCCCGCCGCTCCAGAGTATTTAAGGAAAATGAGTACTGGGAGGGAGGGGGAACTAAAAAAAAAAAAAAAAGAATAAAAAATGCCGAAAGCCGGAGAGCTGCCCCGGTGGCGCAGAGCGGGGCCCGGTCCGCTACGGGCGCCGGTCCCGCCGAGCCGCGGGCGGAGGCGGCCCCGGGGAAGCGCCGCTCCGGCTCCGCCAAAACCGCATCGGTTTCGGGGAGGGGAAATCCGCGGAGGGAAGATCCCGCCCGGCCGGGGAAGCCGAAACTTGCAGCTTTCCCGCTGCACCGGCGATTTCCCGTCCCGCCCGGCTCTCCCGCTTCCCTCCTGCCCGGAGGATACGTTCGCTATTTTTTGGGGAGTTTCACGGGTCCCGCAGCTCCGGAGCCACCCGCAGCGGGACCGGGGCCGCGTACCTGCTGTGGCCGGGCACGGAGGAGAGCTGGGTCCCCTCTCTCCGGCTGGTGGGGGAGAAACGGCTGCAGAGCTGCAGACTCGCAGAGGATGGGAGGTTTCCGAGGGGCCTCACCTCCTGTGTTCACCGGTGACCTTGGCACCGGGGGCAGGAGTGCTCCTAGCCTCTCCATGGGGCATCCTCGTCACCAAGTGTTCCCCACGCCCAGATGACGTGGGTGATGCAGGGACCAAGGTCATGTCCTTCGGGAGCTCATAGGAAGGAGAGAGAGGCCACAGGTTAGCAGGGGTGGATCCCCACCCTGCCAACATCCCATCCATGGGATGGGGAAACTGAGTCCTGGGGCAGCTCCACTGTATCCTAGTTATTAGAACTGCACTGGGAGCCTGAGCAGGAAAGCTTTGGTACCATTGCACAGCTCTGATCCCTCACACCTAGGAAGGCTGAGCTGCAGCAGGGACGCACTGGGCTCCGATGCCTCCGTCTTTGTCTCTCCTGAAGGTCTCTGAGCAGGTCCAGCCAAGTTTCTAAGGTAGCCAGACCTATCAGAGCCACATTGCCAAGACACCAGCCCGGCACAGACTGCAGCCTGACCAGGGGCTCCAGGCACTGCCTGCTGCTCTTCCTCCCTGTGCAAACCAGCACAGCCATCCTATCCCATCCCACCCCAGCTGCAGAGCAATAGATTTTTTCCTTACACAGCCAAGAGTCAGCCCCAAGGGGAGGTAGCAGAGGTAGAGCTCTGCTAAAGAGCTCTGGCCCTTTAGGAGGCACCTTGCTAATATCCTCAGACTGCACACCCGCTTTGGTCTGACCAGAGATGCAGGAACAGCTAGGAGGGACCCATTCCTCCCTAAACATTGTCACCCCATGCTGTTCTTCCTCCTCCTCCTCCTCCTCTCCAGGCCAGGAAGGGTCTGGAGCCTGCCTTACCTCGCAGCCCTTGTGCACAGCTCCCAGCTCAGTCAGAAGGACCAGGCCTGAGGGATGGACTCAGTGTGTAACACCAAGGGGTCTGCAGCAGCATGTCGCTGCCTGGGATTTACACACATCCACCACAGGTACCGGAGCACACCCGCTCTCACGCAAAGGATGGTCACCGAGTCAACCAGTAAAATATGCAAGAAATACACTCCAAACCCTCTCACTCCCAAAACACACCTCCACCAAGGCCAACGGCCCTACAAAAGATTGGAGGAGTACTTCAGCCAGCTCACAGCTGCCTCTGAGGGCCAGAGTTTCCCTGATTAGCTCACCCACAGCTGAATTAGATGCAGCACCAGCTGAAGAGAATTAAACAAGAGGAGAAACAGGATTAGGCTTTCTCCTTCTAGCTCTAGGGTCTGTAGGCAGCCAGGTATTACAGAAACTGGGTGGTCTGGATAAAACAGGATTAAACAGAAGCCACCTACCAAATGAACAAGCCCACAGCACTGGAAGAGGTGCCACACATCTCCCCCAGCCAACTCCCCGCTGGGTTGCCCAGTTCTCACATTTCATTGCCAAGGAGCTTGAGTGGACCAGCAGGTCCCCACCATTCACTGCTGGAAGGAGATCAACAGCACTCAGCTCCAAGGGCAGGTCGCTACAGTCACAGCAACAGGCATGGTCTCAGACAGCAGGGAACCAGATCCCTTTTCCAGCATCACCTTAACTCTGCCCAGCAAAGCAGATGCAGAACCATTGCAGGAGCAGGGAGAGCTAGACCCAGAAGCAGCCACATGGGAGACCAAACAATATGATGACACTGGAACAGGTTGCCCAGGGAGGGGCCTCATCCCTGGAGGTGTTCAAGGCCAGGCTGGATGGGGCTTTGAGCAACCTGGTCTGGTGGGAGGTGTCCCTGCCCATGGCAGGGGGGTTGGAACTCGATGATCTTTAAGGTCCCTTCCAACCCTAACCATTCTATGATTCTATGATGGTGAGTTCCGCTGCCTACACACACTTCAGCCACCTCCCTTAGGGCAGGAGGCACTGGGCATCATGATGCTAGCTAACATCATCAGGGCACCTTGAATGCCTGAAGCCAACTTGACCCAGAAGATAAAGCACTGCCCACCACACAAAAACATCCCTCTACACCACTTCCTCCTTCCTGCCACGCTCACAACTCTTTATAGACATCAGCTGCTGCACACAGCTACCCACCTGGTCCCTCCCACCATTCTCCCCTGTCCCACCTTTGATGGAACAGGGGAGAGCTGGGAGGAACAGTGGGGGGACAAGCAGAGAAACCAGGCAGCAAAGAGAGAATCTCAGGGGAGTTCGGGTGGTGAAGGCAGTACAGGGCCCAGCCCAGACAAGAGGTCCTCAAGGAAAGGACAGCGGTGGTGGCACTCAGTTGAGAGTCACATTGTGAGGATGTCAGTGCCTGAAAGTCACCCAAGGTCTATAGGACATGCCCTTGAATCACTAAATTCAGCAGGGAGCCCAGAGCTGAACTGAATGCAAACCAGCTCAAACCTTTGTGTCTTGTCATTTATTATTTTTAATTTCTTATCCAGAACTGCTGTTCTGAACTTCAGTAGAAACTGAAGCAGCCACTACAGAAACCAAACTAAGACAGGGCAGGAAAACACACCATCTTGATTTCTGGATAAGAAACAAATCCAGCTTAGCACAAGCAATGGAGTTTAAGGATACTTTCATTTTCCAAGGTCCTCATCATAAGTGGCTACACCTGCTATTTTTTTGAAGTCCCCTCCATAGAGCACTACAGAGTCAGTTGCTCTGAATTAATAAATGCTTTTAAACGTTTGGCCTATGCACTTTGTCCACCATGGACAAAGCTTGTCCATAGAGGGGGGAGGCCCACTGCTGACTCAGAAAGATCATGAGATGTGATGCATGGTGGGAGAGAGAACATGACACGCTGCCTTGCACCAGTCATTCCCAGAGCCTGATTTATTTGTTATTCGCAGAGCAAAGGAAAAAGCCTCAGAGCTTAATCTGAGGCTGTGAGGGTCTTCATGGGGAAACCAATGACTGGATTTTCAGAAAAAAGTGCTGGCAAGACCCAGCAACTGGTATCAAATTTTCAAGAGCAAAAGTCGGAGGAGATAGGAAGAGCCATGTTTCAGTATGAAGGGTAGGTAGCTAGACCCTGTTATGCTCTCCTTATTATGCCTGAAAAGTGGATGATGTGCCTGGATTTTGAAGGCACCATCACGTCAAATGTCTGCAAGGAAAATGCCCACACTGAAAAAGACTTAAACTTTGGTATTTCTTGATCATACCTCAGGCCCTTAATGATTGCAGGTAGAGTTCAGTTGCTCAATGACTTCTGTAGCAATAGGACAAAAGGCAATGGTTTTAAACTAGAGCAGGGTAGGCTTAGATTAGACATTAGGAAGAAGTTCTTTACAATGAGAGTGGTGAGACACTGGAACAGGTTGCCCAGAGAGGTGGTGGAGGACCCATCCCTGGAGACATTCAAGGTTAGGCTTGAGGAGGCTCTGAGCAGTCTGATCTAGCTAAAGATTTCCCTGCTTACTGCACGAGGGTTGGACTAGCTAAACTTTAAAGGTCCCTTCCAACCTAACACATTCTATGATTCTCTCCTCTGCACAGGACAGCCATCTGCTAGTGACATTTTCAGACAAACAAGCAGTCTCTTATTTTCAGAAGCCACGCTCCATGGTCTCGCTGACCTACCAGACATGGGGTGGGGGAGCGTGTGGTGGGATGTGTCACCTGGAGAAAGAGGAAAAGGCCTGCTCAAAGCTCAACCTGGAGACCTTGTGGCCCACAACCCCAAGATCATCTTTCCAGGGTCTCAAGGCAGACTAAGCATAGGGATGTCCAGGAGCCACAAATGGCCACTTTGAGACTTCCCGCCCCAGTCTTGGTTATCATATCCCTTTACTTTCAATTTCAAAAAGTGACTGTTCTTATTGCAGGCAATGCTCTGGATTTGCTTGCGACAGTGGACTGAGATCATCAGCATCAAGACAGTCGAGATGGATTGCTCAGGGGGCTTAGCAAGCTCTGCTTGCACTGACTGCAGTGGGCACACGCAGGGCCATCTGCACTAGATGTTAGATCCCACTCTGCTGTCCAGTTTATTTTTTTTCCATTACCCATGTGTTGAGCTGTTCTGCCAACACGTGCTCAAAGCACAACCTGGAGACCTTGTGGCCCACAACCCCGAGATCATCTTTCCAGGGTCTCAAGGCAGACTAAGCATAGGAATGTCCAGGAGCCACAAATGGCCACTTTGAGACTTCCCACCCCCATCTTGGTTATCATATCCCTTTACCTTCAATTTCAAAAAATGACTGTTCTTATTGCAGGCAATGGTCTGGATTTGCTTGTGACAGTGGACTGAGATCATCAGCATCAAGACAGTCGAGATGGATTGCTCAGGGGGCTTAGCAAGCTCTGCTTGCACTGACTGCAGTGGGCACATGCAGGGCCATCTGCACTAGATGTTAGATCCCACTCTGCTGTCCAGTTTATTTTTTTTCCATTACCCATGTGTTGAGCTGTTCTGCCAACACGGAGCATCAGGAACTCTGAAATCCCTCATCATGGGCTCAAATTAAACCACCAAGAGGCATCACACTGTCTACATTAAACCCCTATCAGAGAGGGTTGAGCACAGCCCAAAACATCTTTGGATGTCTTGGCCAAATTAAACACTAACCTTGGTGCTCTCATGTAAACACTTAAGATCACAGCTGCAACGACTGTGAGCTGAGGACAGCCAGTGAGCTCCTGAGAGAGACAGCACTGTTGGTGTGGAAGCATCCTGTCCTCCCCAGCTGGCTCAGCCCACTACTCACCCCAGAGCCAAAGCCCACTCTGAGTTACCACTGAGTGCTGCAGGACTCCAAAACAGCATTCAGACATGAGAACCCTCACGTTTTTCTTTTTCTCTCTGCCTGTGATCTGTGTGTGAGCTGCTGGATGTGTGTAAATCACAGGCAGCAACACCCTGCTGCAGACCCCTTGGTATTATGCACTGAGCCCATCCATTAATACCAGATGGTCTGTCTTCAGAAGGTGGCATCAGCTTCTTCAGCCCTCCTCTTGCTAGGCCTGCTAAT